GCAGAAGACCCGGGTTCAAATCCCAGCACCCACATGGCAGCTAACAACCATGGTCTCTTCTGTCCTCCACGGGCACTGTAGGATATGGGTGCACTTACCTATATGTAGGCAATACACTCATACACATAAAATAAAAATAATAAAATATTTTTTAAAAAAAGAATTTTTGAAGGAAAGTTGGGAAAAGTAAAATTAGAAGGTGAAAAATAAGTGTGAAGTTAAGCGACACAATTTTCTAGAGTGCTGGTCACTGCTGTGTTCCCTTGGCTCTTTGCATTGTGGTTATCTGTGAAGATTAAATTTTAAAATTCATGAAATATGAGAATTCGAAAAGATCTTTGAGATACCCTCACTTTACAGAGGAGTAAGTTTTCCTGCCAAGTTGCATTGGCAGGGCTTAAATTATTCATTGGAACAAAGACAGGGTCCACAGAGATCACTTATGTGGATGTGACATGCACAGTTTTTGAATGTGGAAGCTGGAAGCTGGAGAGGGACAAATCCATGCACATACCAGAGACCAAATGGAACATGGATCTCCCATCCAAATGTTTTTAAATAATGTTCGGATATGACTCTAGGGGCTAGAGGGAGACCCTGTCTCAAAAAATCTTTTTTTTTTTTTAAGTAAAAAATGAAAGGAAGTAAGAGAAGGAAAGAAAAGAAAAAAAGTTGATGGGTTAAACCCATGTTTTCAAAAAGGGATTCAAACTAAGAAGCATATTCTTTCTAAGCTATAAAACCAAGCTTCAGACTTTTAATCTCTATAAATCTCTTTGGCAGATAAGCAAATCATGGGCCAAATAAAGCATTAATTAAGCCATTTTATCTAATTATTTACTCTTCAGGGGCTGGGGATGTAGTAATACACACGCTTAGCACATGTGAGTCCTGGCTTCGAAACCTCATAACACACATATGTACACACACACACACACACACACACACACACTTTTCCAAAGAGAGTTTGTGCAGTGATTCTTTGTTCTGAGAACTCAATCAGATGCATGTCTGAGGAGATGGCTGTTTCTGTCTATTCTGGGCATCAATATATTTAGAGTGGGTGAGCAACATAAATGCTTTTTCCTAGTTAGCATTTATGTATATTTTACTTAGGGGAAGATGGAAAAATTTTCTAAGTATGTGCAGGAATTCGCAACAAGAAAAGAGCCGATCTGTTGTTCTGCTAAATGTACAGAAACTCCAGCACGAAACTAAAACCTGGAACTAGAGCATCTGCATACAAAACAGCAGAATGGACACTCGCTTCCATTTCCAGCAGAGATTCCAGGTCCACCACATGGCCATCTCACGGTTGTTGTTGTTGTTAATTTTACTTTAAAACTTAAAGGAAAAATAAAGAGGTAGAAGACAGATTTTATTTTTCAGAGAACTGAGAAGGAAGACGAAGATGAAATAGTTATACTGAATAATGTTATTGACTGAACACGTGTGAAAACTTACATGTCAAATGAATGACTCAAGACTCAGGTCCGAGTAACTGTGTAGGTGACGGCCTTCACTTCAGTTTTGATTAATTGGGAGGAAAATACTGTAAGGATTTAGGTTTAAAGAGGTTTCTAAGCCCAAACACAGCTGACTCTCCTGCATACCTTCTTTTCACCTTGCTTATGTCCATTCATGACTTTTTTACATAGTCATATGGACAAGAATAAATAAAATGAGCGGGAATAAGGGAAAGCACCTTATGAAAAATTTTGTCCAAAAAAAAAAATACAAACATCTCAAAAAATGAGATGAAAAATGAGACCAATTTAAATAACACAGAAGTTTTGCCTCTTGCTCTTTTGGCGGAATGTCGTAATTTTCTGCCTTCATCTTTACATTTATTGAAAAGAAACGCAAAAGCAGGCACTTGGTAGGTCAGTGGTCTTTCTCAGAAATCCTACAATTTGGTGAAACTCCATTGTTTCTTATTTTAATTAAGGAAAAGAGATATGTTATTTCTTTACCGGCTAAACTAACGAAGGTTATAAATAAGTATTCACTTACCAGGAGACCATCATGGTTTTCACTGAGCTCTGCAAGCTTGGAGCTGGATTTTTGACGCTTTGGTTTGCTCCTTTCCCCAACACAATCAGAAGCATTGTCATGGAACTTTTCTGCTTCCTGAGTATTCAAAATAAACTCATCACAGTTGTTGAAGCCATAAGAAATATTTTCTTTGTTGATAAGTCCCCTTGAATTAAAAAAAAAAAAAAGGCTCGATTTTATTGGAAGGGGACATTTTATAATATGGCCATGTATCATGTTCTACCCAAAGTCTGAGGAGGACCCAGGAATTTTAGTTTGCATCTTTGATCGGAGCCTTAGTAAAGCAACACTCCTGAGTTGTACAAATAACTCACAACAGAAGAGGCTTGATTCTTAGACAGATCTACAAGGCTGAGCTTCCACCAATGGACAGCTTTTATATTTTACCAAAAATAATTTGTATTCAAACAGGGAGAATAGTGCAAGAGTCTAATGAAATTTCCTATTATTCATGGTAGATACTTGTGTGGGATATATGAGGTGTATGCATATTTGTCTTGCTGGGTATCAAACTCAGGGCCTTGCACATACTAGATAATTTCCCCGTCACTGAGCTGCATTGCTAGACTAATATATATAATTTTTAGTATTATAAATTCATACTATATGGTGACTCCCCAACCCTAAAGTTATACCTTGAAATAAATGAGCTTAGATGAGCAAAAGTAGATGCCATATTTTACTGTCAACTCAATCACATTTAATCTGTTAAAGACAGCATTAAATATTTACTCTTCAATAGGAATTTATACCTTTAAGCTATAATACAGTGAAAATTATGATAATATTTTCAAAGTTATATTGTTTGGATATTTTTAGCATTGTATAATTTGGTTGGTTTTTACGACATCTAATGTAGAAAATATGTATGTGTAAAAAAAATTGTGTGAGAGGCTGAAGAGATGGCTCAGTGGTTAAGAACACTAATTGTTCTTGCAGAAGACCTGGGTTTGAATACCAGCACCCACATGGCATATGGGGCTGGAGAAATAGCTCAACAGTTAAGAACACTGGCTGTTCTTGCAGAAGACCCTGATTCGAATCCTGGAACCCACATGGCAGCTAACAACTGTCTGTAACTCCAGTTCCAGGGGATCTGATGGCTTCTTCTGTCCTCCGTGGGCATTGCACGACACAGGTGCACTTACCTACATGCAGGCAATACACTCACACACATAAAATAAAAATAAAAATAAAGTATTTTTTAAAAAATTGTGTGAAAGACAGGAGAGACGGCTCAGTGGTTAAGAGCACTGGCCACTCCTGCAGAGAATTCAGGTTTGGTTCTTGGTTCCCAGGGCCTATATGGTGGCTCACAGTCATCTATAACTTCAGTTCTAGGGGTTTCCACGCCCTCTTCAGGCTTCCATAGACATTGCATACATATGGTACACGTGCATGCAGGCAAAACATTCATACACATAAAATAAAAATAATTTTTTTAATTATGTGAAAGATTTACGTACATTTATAAGAAGTATCTTAAGTATAAACTAACTGAAGACAGGAGGGGACACAGCCAGACTCTGACATGCAGGAACATGTACACATGCACATGTCTCCATCCTCACACCCTGTAGACAGTGTCTTCTGAAGATGGAGGATTTGGTTGTTAACTCAAAATTACATGTTTTATCCCTTGACTTCTGTCTTCTTATCACTGTGCATATTTTCTAAACTGCTGGGCTACCTGTACAGTTATAATTTCTAGTGGACCTGTTTTGGGGCTTGAAAGCCATCACAGACTAGGCTAACTCCTCATACTTCCTGTCTGGAAGCCCTGACACCTGATGTGCCTATTAGGAGACAAGGCCTTTCAGATGTAATGAAGATTAAAGGAGGTTATCAGGACAGGGCCTTCAGCCAACATGATTCTGTCCTTAGAAGACATCAGGAAAGCATGCACAGTGGGAAGGACAGAGAGAAGAGTCACCTGCAGGCCAAGCACATTGGTTTCCCTGGAACCAGCCCTGCCTGCACCTCACAGTGGACCTCCCAGTCACGAGATCTGAGGACAGATAAGCACCGTTTAAGCCTCCCAGTGCCTGCTTGTTTGTGGTAGCCGAGCAGACTAATTCTGAAGCCGAAACTATTGTAAAAATCAAATGGAAAAGCTAATTTTTTAATCTTTTAGGATAATGAATAATTGGAATAAACTGCTGAAATAAAAATGTAACAATCTGATAGAGCAGTTGTGTGGCTATGGAAGTCCTGTTCTCCCCAAAGGGAAACCTTGGCTTCTGTGAGCATCGCTGTGCCTCAGCCACAGCGTGTACATGAGTGTTTGGAGCTTAGATGCAGCATTCCCTTCTGAAACACTTGCAGTCAATCATATTTGATCTGAACTCAGAACTCCTAACCTCTCATTTAAATTACCTGGATCTTTTTCCAGGATTTCCCTCTCCCTCCCTCTGACAATACTGATGGCTGGGTCTGGTGGCCCACACCTTTAGTCCCTACACTTGGGAGGCAGAGGCAGGTAGCTCTCTGTGAGTTTGAAGCCAGCCTGGTCTACATAGTGAGTTCCAGCTGTGAGTACAGGGAGACCCTGTCTCAAAAAGATACAAAACAAAACAAAACAAAACAAAACAAAACAAAACAAAAAACTAATGTTTACTATTCCTGCAATGCTGTATGCTTTCCTTTATATTTTCCAGTAAGATTTTAGTATAATATCTTATAAAAAAAATAAGCATTTGGATTAATTTTTCAGGTCATTGTGTTTTGGAAAGTTTAAAGTACCTTTACTTTGAAAATATTATAAAATAGAGAGACTATCACAGTAAACATTCATATTTATTTACCTGGTAGGCAGTAGATTTTTTTAAAATAAACAAACTAGACTGAAATGTTTTAGATTACAAAATTATATAATGAAACATTGTATAAAAACATTTTATATCGTAAATGTTAATATCCCCTAAGCATTTAAGCTTTTATTGCAGCAAATAATTATTTGAGTCTGTATTTTCTTGTAAATTTGACAAATAGCAAATCATTTGCACCAAAATGAGTGATTTGTAGTCTCCATCTACCCTCAGAATGTGTTTTAAAAATCTGCCCTGACAGCCTCAGTAAGGCTTCACTGACTAATTTACTTCATCTTTAACCAGCCCCTCACTGGCTTCAGGACAGTTTTTAACTTCTCACAGCTCTATAGTATAGGGAGCAAAGTAACAGAAAATAAAACAAATGGTTCTCTTTAGAACAAGTTGCAATTGTTCCATAAGGCTAACAGTTATGAATAAAATATTACAAAGTCTAGTTTAATTGTCCCTTGTTTTTTTAAAGCAAAGCCTGATGAATATCTTGGATAAATGTATCAGTTACCTATAGCTAGACCCTAGGAGTAACAGCCTTAGGACAAGCTGAATGTGATTCTTGATGTTCTCACTATGAAATGTTAATGGCTTTCCTGGGGATATGAGGGAAGACCCAACATTTCAAAGTCATCACAAGGAGGAGCAGGCAGAAAGAAAATTCTGAGATGGGAGTAGAGATGCTGAAGAAATGAGCAGCTGGAAAAGCATGCAAAGAACAAGGCTGAGGAAAAGGAAAGACACGGAGCTGGAAGGGGCAGGTCTGGATCAGCGAGGCGGGAGGGAGTCAGAGGACCCGCACCCAAGCTGGGGAAGAGAAGGTCAGAGGCAAAGCTCAGGGACCTGCGATCGAAGCTGTTTGTCAAAATTAGCAACTCGAACTGAGATAACGGGCTAGTTCCTCAAAGACCCGGAGAGCTGAGAAAAAGTGCTCGGTGTGTGCTAGGAGTTTTAAGAAGGATTGTCCAGCACGACTGTGGCCTCATGTGTCAGCTGATGTGTATGAGTGCATGGAAGGCACCAGGAACCCAGGGAAGAGTGTTGTGGTGAGACTACTGTAAGTTACCTATGGTACCCGGGGAGACATAAATATTTGCATTCATGATTCTCCTACCCACCCATGGTAGGACTAGAACAGGGACTACCTACTAGAACAGGGACTAGAATGAATAAAAATTAAGGTTCGAGTTTCATGTGTAGTCCACAGCGGACCAATTAGGCACCAGTGTTCTTCATTTCTGCTGGCTGCTGATGTTGCTAATTAAATATGATGAATTAATATCTGCAAGAAACATCTTCAGACTTGGGAAATGACATTCGGCAGGAGAGGTCAACCTATGGTTCATATTTCTTGGCCTTCTCTGGCCCCTACCCACTGTGAAACTTACCTCTGCTGTTTCCTACCATCACCACCGCCATCACCTCTGCCACCGCCACTGTCTTGCTGTGCTCCCACTTCCCACCCCACATGGTCTCCCTCTGTCCAGACAGAGAGGGTAGGAAGAGGTCTGTCATGATGCATTGAGGGTATTTTCAAAATGCCAAGTGCTGCTACATATTAGTCAACAAAAAATGAGGCAGAGGGCAAGAATTACGTTACATGAATAAATTGTACTTGTATAATAAAATATATACAGAACACAAACTAATTATGATGATGAAACATACTAATTAGTTTCACAAACTACTTATGAAAGCTGATGAATACTTTTTTTAATAAACTTGTTAGTAGCTAATTTCAAATATGAGCATTTCTGGTATTATAGTTTCTGCTTTCTAAAGAAATTATTGCAACTGCTTTTTTCTATAAGTTCTAAAATAATTTTTAAAGTAATGTATTTTTTACATCTACAGTCAGTGGGGAACATCATCGCTACTACTTTGTGTGTTTACATCTGTTAATATAGCTTTCAAACATTGAAACTGCGTGAGCAGTATTTGATAAAGGGGAAATCTGCTGGCTAATGAACTAGTCAGTTAATTTAATGTTGACTGATAAAGAAAAAGGTTCCAAACAGGCAGATGACTTTCTCCTGTGGTTCAGGATTTCTCTAAATGCAATATTCAAGAGGAAGCCATGATATACATAAATTCAGAGGTGGTTCTCACAACACACCAGACCTGTAGCTGAGAATGAAGCACTTACTAACTCACGGGAATTTCTAAATGCTGGCTGAGTTTAGAACAGCCACAAGGAAAACTTGTACAGTTTTAATCTAGATACTGAATTGGGAGAGGAGCAGGTGTGCCTATCCTAGAGTGACTGATGTAAAAAGAGAAAGAAAAAGCTCAGGCAAGAAGAACCAGTGGGAGCTTACTTGTCTCTACCCTGTCGAACTTCATCCTGCTTCTTAGACTGATGTCCTCGCTGCTTGGTGGGTGTGGAAGAAGTTGATGATGGTAAAGATTCTGAGTCCTCTGAACTTTGACTTCCAGAGCTATTAACATCAAAAAGATGTTCTTCTACTGCTGACCTGATGGTTCTTTCCAAGAGTCTGGTTAAAACAGAAACCAAACAGAATAAAACCAGAGGTGATCAAGACAAAGCAGAACACTAAAACCAAGGAAGCAATCAAGCAGTCAAGATTATCAGTGATTTCCTTAAAAATGTGCCCATGTTTTAGCGATACCTCTACTTCCTGTGGAAGATCTTTAGCACTTCATGAGCAAAGATGATGATGAGAATAATGCATTAATGTAAACAATATTTGTATTACCCATTAAAGACAAAAGTAAACCAATTAGCCAATTTGTTAACTGTGTATCTCATCATTTTGAGTCAACAATGACTGAAATGCTCAAAGCAAGTCTAGCAATAACTGCAAGACATTTGAGAAATGAGGGTCACTTAATGTAAAGCAGAGTGAGACAAGTTCACTTGTAAAATAATAATTATTTTTACAAAGGCAAGATTCCTCCATATTTCATATCAGCTCAGCTGAGGATGACACTATGATTTGCAAGGCAAATTGGCCTAAATATTTTAGAATATCTACTATATACTTAGAATCTCTTTAGATAAAATTATATAGGGAAAAAATGTTGTTTGGGGAAAAACCAGCTCAACATAATAATTACAACTCATAACAGCACAGCTTTCTATTTCTGAATCTCTAATCAAACAGTGATTTATAAAATTAAAGGTGGATTCATGCAAACACACCACAAAGTATAGTATCCAAGTTGGAAGGTGTGGTGGTTTGAATGAAAATGTCCCCCATAGGCCCCAAGTATTTGGACCTTTTGTCCCCAGATGATGGCACTGTTTGGGGAGGTTTTAGAAGGTGTGGCTATGCTGGAGGAAGCACATCACTAGGGGGTGGGCTTAGAGAGTTCTTAAGTCTTGCAGGATCTCCAGCTGCCCTCTTGTTTCTGTGCCTGCTGGAAGATGAATAGCTTAGCTTCTGCTCCTCCTCCAGCTAACTCTGTGGCCATGCCTCCCTGCCGTGATGGACTGTAATTCCCCTGGGCCGTCAGCTCAAATAAACTCTTCCTTCTATATTGCTTGGGTCAGTGTTTCTAGCACAGCAACAGAAAAGTGACTAATACAGATGGATAGATTTACTTTGTCAACCTGAGGAAAACAGGTCAGCACAAAGGGCCGAAAGCAACACACTGTGAGATACAAGTACCATCTTTTGCCCATTAACTCTACTGCCTTTCTCTTATATGCCTGGTTCCATTTTTAAAGCTGCAGAATCTTCCTGTGTTTCTAAACAGTCTACTACCATCCTAGGTAAGTCTGAGTAAGCAGGCGTAGGACATTCTTAACTTAGACTCCTCAAAGCATGGTTTTCTTTACTTGAAGAAAATCTACATTTTAAAAAAATGCACAGATTGGGCATTTAAATACCTTTATTTTAAATAAAATCATTTTTGTTTGTTTTGTTTTGTTTTGTTTTGAGAAATAGTCTTGCTATCTAGCCCAGGCCAGTCCCAAATTCACAATTCTGAACAGTGAATCCACCATGCCTGGCTTCACTGAATGGGTTCTGAGAACTTAAACAATGTAAGATTTTCCAAATGTAGTTTTGGAACAGACTCTTAGTTACTATATTCAAATTTTATTAAAAATACTTTAAGACAAAGACCAAGTATAGTCTAATTAAATTGGGCATTGCAACCTTTGTATTGTATCCATCCGGTATGATTCAAGATTTCACACCAGTAGTCCTGAAGAAGGTGAATACATCAGCATGTAAGTATAGTCCAACTTACAGTTTTACAAACTATACAAGGAAAGATGATCAGGAAAAAAGAGGCAAGAACATGTCAGTCTTGGTGCAATTCTGGAATCTTTAAAAAAGGATGAAGCCACAGCTTTCTGTGGCCCCTTATTTACTGCCTCACCTAGTGAGGAAGGAAATCCCAAACCCATCCTGAGATTCAAAGTCTTTCCAATCAGCGCCTCTTTCAGGCTCTTTCTGTCTACCACATCACACCCTCTCCACTTCCAACACTGGGTTTTTGCCAAAGGAAGATGCCACAAAAAGGCCTGTATGCTTCCATGAAAAAAAAAAAAAAAAAAAAAAAAAAAAAAAGGAGAGGTAGCAGGACAGAACTCATTCATCTACTGATGTGAAGAATACTCAGATTGTGCCTAATATCTTCAGGGATGTTTCCAGGTGCTGGGGAGATAAAAAAAAAAAGAACGTGCGGAAAAGACTGTGTTTATGGGGCAAGGCAGGGCAGGACAGAGCCAGCGCAAACAAGCGAGCACAGCAGTGTGCTGTGGGTAGCGGGCAGATGGAATAAAATCAGAAGACAGCGCTGGTCAGGCTGGGAAACAGCCAAGGTGAAGGTCTGTGTCAGAAATCAGCTTGGACAATCTCAACAACAGAAAATCAGGAGACCAAAGAACGCTGAGCAACGTGTCCTGAGAGACGCCCAAAGGCAGGAAGCCGGAGCCCTGACAGTCAAGTACAAGTGGCAGCGTTTGAGAGCAACAATATTCCAGATACAATTAACTCAACACTGCCACTGTGTGGAAAAAGGACATGGTGACACCACTAATTTGCTTGCTTTTCTGCATCTCTGTAAAAAAAGATTTAAAATTCCATGAAGGCACAACCATGGCTCCCTGGAGCCACACTTAACACTGTGGCACACTGCAGGTGCTCAATAAATCTAGCGCCAATAAAATGAAAACAATGGGAAGCAAACACATGGTAATGCTTTAACCTTTACTTATATTCTCTACTACAAGATGCCTCCAGGGCACACAGACTGCTTGGCAAACGCTAACTGACCTTGACCCATTTTTAATGAAATAAACACAAAGTTGGTAGTGCCCTGGAAGGTGGCACATGTTTGTAATCCTAGCACGTGAGAGGCACAGGCAGGAGGATTGTGAACTGAAAGCTACCCTGGGCTACTTAGAGTGCTCAAGGCCAGCCCAATATAAATAGTGAGGTGCAAACAAAATAAAACAAAACAAGTTGGTAGTTTGAAATGGTGGGGCTGTGTGAACACACACAGCTACTTCCTGGATATAAGCAGCTTAAAGTCACAAGTTGTTTTTATTTATTTTTGAAATTTTTGTGTATTTCATACAGAACAGCTCAAACAATCTTTTTATTCATGGGTTTTTTGGTTTCGTTTTTGTTTTTTTGAGACAGGTTCTCCCTGTAGCCCCAGTTGGCCTGGAACTCACTAAGTAGACCAGGCTGGCCTCAATCTCAGAGACACACCTGCCTTTGCCTCCTGAGTGCTGGAATTTAAGGCATGGCCTACCATGCCTGTTTGGTTGTTTGTTACTTTAGTCTTCCAATTCTATACAACATTAGAACTTTTTTTTTTTCTTCTGTTAATAAATAGGAAAAGGCATAAAATACTCCAGAATTTAAAAAATCCAACACAACTTACTCTCCAGTTGTTGAAACATTGCTGACTTGGGATACATGCGCACTGTGGGAAAGAAGCAAAAAGAAAGAAAGTCAGGCTGGCTGGAGGACTAGAGGTGGTGAACCAAATGTCTGAAGGAATGCCAGGCTAGGAGAATCAGCCAGGCTCTGAGTGAGCCTGGGAGGACGACGTTTGGTGTAGAATGCCTTTTCACTCTTCTGATGCAGGGATGGCCCTATTTGCTTGGTTTTGAAGAGAGACCTAGGAAGCCACCTTGTAGCTCTCACCCTAACTGCTGCATCCCCGGTTCCAGGCCTTCCTATTTCTTCAAACGTTAGTGCCCCATTGCTGTTTACTGTCCGCCTGTCACCTTACTGTCCCAGGCCTGCAGGCACAGGTATCTTTTTAAACCCGCTCAGAACACACTGAGGGCAGCAGGGACAAGAGGGTCCGGAGAACAAGGAACCGACATTGTTTCCTACACAGCTATTTCCAGTTTATCTTTTCTTTTTTAGACTCAATTTTATCTAAGAATTTCCCACAGTGATAACTTATAAAAAGCTTTTTATGCAACTGTTTTTTATGACTTGTCCAATTGGTCTCTTCTACTTCACCTTCCCCACCCTTAAATTCCTCAAGATGGAAACTGTCTTAAGCTCAAGTTCATAACAGGCCATTTCTGATTTTTTAGCTGAACATTTATAAACTTCCTCTACTTTCTCATTTTCTCCAAAGCCTGGATTCTTATGGAAGAATTTAAAAAATTATTTGAGATGGCTCAGCAGTTAAGAACACTGGCTGTTCTTGCAGAAGACCCAGGTTTGAATACCAGCACCCACATGGCAGCTTCTTGCAGAGGACCCGGGTTCAATTCCCAGCACCCAAATGATGGCTAACAACCATCCATAACTTCAGTTCCAGGGGAATCGGATGCCCTCTTCTGATCTCCGTGGGCACTACACTACATGGGTGCACTTAGCAATACATGCATACACATAAAATAAAAATAATAAAATATTAAAAACAAAAAAAGCCGGGCGTGGTGGCGCATGCCTTTAATCCTAGCACTTGGGAGGCAGATCCAAGCACATAATAAATAAAAATAAAAATAAAAATAAATAAATAAATAAATAAATAAATAAATATTTGACAGCACTGGGAGGGCGCCAGTCAGAGCTGGCCCTCTCCGTGTGCCCAAGCTCCATGTTCACATTCCTAGGTGAGGACTGAGCAGGCAACTCTGTTGAACGTATTCACATCACATATTCATCCTCATAGTCTCCTTTCTACTGCTCAGTCAAGATTCAAAAGTTCCTACGCTTAAGAAAGCAGTTAAATCTTGAGCAGATTTTTAAATCCGTCAGGCTCTAGATTTTACCAAAAAACCCATCTCCTTTTTTCTTCCTACTTTGTAGAAGACACAGGAAGAAAATCAAAGCTGCTAATGATCATTATCGGTGGTTGCCTTTCAATCATCCCCAGTACATCAATTCATATACTATAATTTTCAACAGGTGGTTACAGTGTCATCTGCTGGGTTTTGACCCTGTGTAAGACTATTTCACAGCCTTCATCTTAGGACCCACAGCTTCTGGGGATTACATGGCATGTTTTCATTTTCTTTTACCATAACTCCTACCACCGCTGCCATTATCGTGCCAGGTATAGAATTCCTTATCCAGAGGGGACCGATGAACACACTTTAGCCTCAGTTAATTTCTTTAGTCAGTCTTGCAGCTCTATGTCATGGCTAGATCACGAAAACACAAAACCAGGCTATTGTCCAAAGAAAACTGATCTGAATTAAGTAAGGAAATAAAGATAACAATAAATAAACATACACATAAGTAAAAACCCCTAACACTTCCTGACTACTTACCATGTTTCGGACACGGTGCTAAGTGCTTTTTTGTATGCATTCTCTCACTTAGGTTACAAGGTCCTGTGAGGTGTGTGTCTTTCTTATTTTCAGATAAAGAGGTTAAGCAGCCTAATTTAACTGCAGCTCTGGGGTGAGATAAAGGAGAGGCTGAAGTAAGGTTTTAGCTGTGGGCCTATGTTCTTTATTACCACACTACACCATTTTCAAGCCCTTATTCATTAGAAGTAAGACTCACTGGGGTGTCTTCAAATGTGGCGGTCTTAGCATTTTACTTTGCCTGTTATCCATATCACAAGGCCTGCTATCCATAGTGGTTCCTGGGCTCCATGACCAACAATAAACCCTTTGCTGCATCTATCTTTAACTGGAACAGGCAGTCCCTGCTTTTGATGTTTTGTGGCTTGCCCTCTCTAAATCCAACACTGTATAATTAACTCCTATGCTCCTCAACAGTTACACAATCTTGCTTTGGGGAGCAAGGGCAGACTGGATAATGACCAGGGAAAACAAGAAAAGGAAAGAGTTAGATGTGCTAAGTGCTAAAAGCATTCTAAAGACAGACCATCCATCAGTCAGGCCACGGCGGAGCTAGAAGGAAGAGATACGTTTCCTCTTCTCCCTTTTAAACACTTGGGACCAGCTGTTCTTTTGCCTATGCAGGTGGATGGATACGTTTGCTCATTTGTTTTGTTGTGTGAGGTATAAAAGACAGGGCCTGACACAGGCTAGGCTATGCCTTCCACTGAGCTATCCTTGCAGCCCCAGACTGGTATTTCTATGTTCTCTGCCCTCCTGCCCCCAGGGTAAGGGGAAGCAAAACATGAGAAAGAAAAGGACGAGAAATGAAAACAAAGAGGACCAGGTTTTGACATTTCTAACTCAAAATAGGTGCTGTGGGGCTTCGGCACGCACAGGAATCACCCAGACCTTGTTAACATAGGGGAGTCGTGTCTAGGGAAGGTGAAGCTAAGATCCTATTTTGCGTGTTGGGCAAGCACTCTACCACTGAGCTCCCACCCTACTCACACTCCTGTATTTTTCATTAATTCCCCAGCCAGTCCGATGCTATTATTGATCTATAAGACACTTCGAGTAGCAAGGCCCTTAATCCTTGCAGGTAGAATTCTTTTTAAAAAGTATTTTATTATTTTTATTTTATGGGCATGAGTGTATTGCTTGTATGTAAGTGCACCCATGCCATGCAATACCCTCAGAGGTCAGAAAAGGGAGTCAGGGCCTCTGGAACTGGAGTTACAGACGCTTGTTAGCTGCTATGTGGATTCTGGGACTTGAACCTAGGTCCTCTGTAAGATCAGTCAGTGCTCTTAAACACTGAATCATCTCTCCAGCCCTGCAACTAAAATTCTTTAAAACTTCAATTATTTAGGAATCACAATAACTATTTTTAAACATTGTAAACTAATTAATGAAGGCACAATATGAAAATTTTCATGATAATCTTAGTGAATAAGTCAATTAAAATCTTCATAGCTTAAGAAGAAAGAGTACATGAAGTTATCAGAAGAAAGTGATGGGGAGATATGGGAGGAGTTGGAGGGGAGGGAGTGGGTGTGGATTTGATTAAAACACCTTAATATGCACGTATGAAATTCTCAATGTTATTTATTTAAAAAAATAAATGAAGATGCTAAATAAATCCACTTCATTATGAAATTAAAAAAAGAACAATATATCTGTTTAGTATTCTTTCTCATATTCCTGTCCTGTTTCACCTCAAGTTTATTCTTGTTATTTCTCCTTGAATGATTATCTTTTGGTAATAAACTATTATTTCTTTATTTTAAAAAAAATCTTCATAGCTTAAAAGAAAAATGGACCGAGCCATCTAAATCAGCCATCGAGATTCCTCCCCAAATGCAAAAGTAAATGAATAAATAGTAACCAAAGCAAATAGCTAAATCTTGTTTTTCTGCCATATTTGTTTCAGGCCAGATTTGTGACAAATTTATATTTTTATGTTTTAAGCGACACTTTAGAATTTCTAGCTTATGTAACTTGTACATGATTTCGTGGTTTCAAAGAATCTCAAGAAGAGATTGTTTTCCACAAAGAAAGGCAAGGCTCTGATCTTGGCTCTGGTAACTGGCTGAAATGGTAGGTAGGCTGCTGGTTAGTTAGGTTGCTTTGGATTTGTTTCTTGGTACAGAAAATGAAAGCTTTGTCTAGTGATACCCAAGGGTTTTCCTTTAGCTATGAAACTTTGTAACACTGTCTCAGATTCAAGTTTATTGCCCTAAAGTTTATCATTACAAAAGACTGGAACTGCACATTTAGTTTTATGACAGTGTTAGTCAAGCAGTTTATTAGATAACAAAATGGTTGTGGTTTGGTATCCAGCCACCTCCATAATTCTGAGGGATGTTTTTAACAATTCACCAATAACAACATTTCTGAGAAAATTTAATGATGGCAATAATGACTTTTTCCACAGCTATAGCTGATTCAAAGAGGAACTTCCAAGGCCCTGGTATAACCCAAAATACATTTAAACAATAAACAAGTAAGATAAAGTATACTTTCTTTTATCTGCATGAAACTTTTAAATTCTCTGCACACACAAAAAAAGAATAATTTATTCTTGACTGACTTGTTAAGAAAATTTTTAGCTTGTGTATTCTAAATGTGTATATGACAGAATTCACTTCCTGGTGTTAATAGAACAAATACTGAAAATTGAAAAAAATAAGTGCATGTGTAAATCCAGCATTGTAGTCAGTTCCGTTACCCAAGCCTACTGTTAGTGATAATGCAACTGAGTTTACTGTGGGCACAGTCATTTAAACTAGATTCTATGCCTACATATTGAAATGTGCTCTATGGGATACTTAAGTGTCTTTAGTCTTTATTTCTATTAGCAAAACCCAAACTATATTTCCTTAAACTTACTGTGCTTAGTAATATTAGTCTCTAAAATGCACATGTGGTAAGATGTGCAGGTGCCTGTTGACAAGTGATTCTTTAATTAGATCTCTTGACTTGAAGTAAAAACAATACATATAAAGAATTTCAAGTCTCCAGAACCAGACATCCTGAGAAGGCATGTGTTCTGTGTCCGTTCTTGTTTCCGTAGGTACTTTTGGTGGCATGTCTGACAATATCAATGTCTTCACAGAAACCAGGAGGACTAACAGACTTGCCATTTCGCTCTGGAATGTAACAT